ACAAAGCCAGTCATGGCCTGTAATTTATTATACAGTAATAAAACCCACCGTGTGTAAAATGAGCGATAGTCCTCTCCACAGCACTACAGGTCAAGTCTAGTAAAAACGAATACCGCTAGGAGACGGGGCTCCTAATCAACATTACGTTGACGGTCTTGTAAAGTGAAATCTCACTTTATTTTTTTTTTTTTTGCCTTTGTTTATTTATTCATTTTCATATGATTCATTTACATGTGATTCATTACATATGATTCATTTGCATGTGATTCATTTTCATGTGATTCATATTCATGCATGTGATTCATTTACAAATCTCACTTTAAAAAAAAAAAAAAAAGCGAGACCGTGATTTTAAGGATGGAACTGAAATGGATTATTCATGCATTCGCAGCACACGATATTCTCTGTCATGACCGTGCAGTGCAGTAGAAATCACTCTTAAGCCTTCTGGAAAAAGCACTTTCTCTGATCACGTAGCAGCTTTTCACAGAACGTCCTGCAACACAAATCCATCGGTGTAGCGTGACGTTACGCTCGGATTTATTTCAGAATTCCTCGTCGTCACACTTTACTCTCATACCTAGTACTCCGTCACATTCCTAATCATCATGTTATTATTCATCATCGTTTTTTTTTTGGTTTTTTTCTTTCTTTCGTACAGCAATATTCTTGGCCGACGAAACGGTCCCAAGGCGAGCTAGCTCGTCTCTGTCAACGTTAACATGATCAGATCAGATGCATCATAATCGTCAGATCACGGACGTATGTAGTGTACATGTTTGCTAACCCCCTCCCCTCTGTCCCACCCTTGCTTTCGGTATTTCTGAAATTGAAATCTTTTTTGTTTTTTTGGTTTTTTTTTAAAGCAGCTGTAACCCACTAATGTTCCTAGACCGTATATGTGCGAGCTAACGTGCCTTCACTCAATACTAGACAAGCTAGTTTCAATAAACCTTTTACAAGTATACACATGAATTGTTTCGCCACAAGACTGGATCGTTTTCAGCGTTCTGCATTGTAGTTTGGGAATCGTGTATACCTACAAACCGAGTGTATGAACGTGTGCGTTTTGAGAACGGTGAGCTGAGATTTCTGCTAACCGAATATTACTTGTGTGTTGGACCATTCTCACAGCCTCGGTTATATTGACGGGAGCAACATGGGTAGTGTTGATTGGGGTTCAAAACATCTCCGTGTCACTCCTGGGTTCTGAATAGTCCACCGATCAACAATATCCAGCCATCCCTGGTTTCCTCCCACCTCCTACAAACATGCTAGAACGTTAGCAATTAGGGTACCGAATTGTACTGTACAGACGTTTCTTTGTCACTGGGTTGGTACCATCAAGAGTGTACATACCTTTTTAGTATGTATCTTTATACCCTTAAATAATTGAAGGTACATAAGGGTCATGAAACCTCCCTCTTTCAGCTCAAGGCTACCTCTCAATGTTTTTGAAAAATGGGCGTGGATGGCTGTGCGAAGAAGGGAGTGGAGTGGGCGTGGCAGGAGAGGAAGAGGGGTCGGACGTATAGTGAGCGTTTGCAGATGAGGCAGAGGACGTCTCTCCACCTGTATCCCCAGGGCTAAATGGAGATATAATAGATAGCAGTGCAGGTCCTCTGCCGTGTCTATTTAAACCATTATCCCTGGCATTACTATGGAAGAGAACATCAAATAAATCCGTAGGCAGCACAGATGGGAGGAGTTTCGGAATGGTAGCTAGCTAACAGACTCGAGCTTTTCACAAATCAAAGCGCGAAGGCTCTTCCCTTCAACGTGGCCTCTCTTATAGTTCTGCACTCGATGGTCCGTGGAGCTTAACGCGGTTTAATTAGCTCAAAAGGTAAGTATAACGGTCATGGTTCACATTTCACACGTACCTCGTTTGAAGGCATAGAAAAGTCACTGTGTAGACGCAAACTGCTTTCAAGAGCAAGTCTGAAGTCCACCTTTCTCCAGTTCTCCTAGGTCTCCTGAGAAAACACACTCGAACAATTACACCACTGGAACAAACGCCCGTGACTCAGTGACTCATTTGAACGCCTCTCATAGGATAAGAACACGCAGGCTCATGAATAATTCTGAGACACCGACACATCATCGAAGTACTGTAGAACATTTCCAGGTCAGCGCCTGTGATGTGAGACAGGACGAGATTTTAAACCATATATAATCATTATCTGTGGATGTGTGTGTGTTAGAGCAGGAACGTAGTGCTCCCAGGTAAACATTATATGGCCAAAAGTATCAGAGAACACCTTCTCATCACACCAACATGCGCCCATTTCAGAACCGTGGGAATTCCCACGGAGCTGGTCCCTGTGCTGTCCCTGTCCACTCTTCCGGGAAGGCTTTCCACTCGATTTTGGAGTGCGGCTTCTGGGGATTTGTGCTCATTCAGCTACAAGAGCATTAGTGAGGTCAGGCAATGATGTCGGGTGAGGAGAACTGAGGTGTTCAGTGGGCTCTCGGGCTCTTCCGGTCCGATCTTAACACGCCATGGAGCTCGCTTTGTGCACGGGACACTGTCCTGCTAGAACAGGTTTTGGACGTCTCGGTTCCGGTGATCTGTTTAGCAGCAGTTTGGGAAACGACCACCGGTGTGAGCCATCTTCTGGCCGTAGAGTCCGAGACCAGGCTGGATTTTTCATCGGATCGTGAATGCAGATGCGCTAGAAGAGAAGTGATGGCAGTAGAATGGCCGTTCGGTCTTTTCTCTGTGGATTCATGTCTGGTTCGAGGACCACGTTTTTGAAGAAGATCCACAAACGAGGGCTGAATTTCAGTCCGCTTGAGACTAGGACTGAAGCAGTGCAGTCCAACCCTGGTCTGTTCTGGTGTTTCCCAGACTGTGTTGTCTCTTTAAGACAGCCCCACCGTGTGTGTGATTAATTCAGTGTGATGCGATGCTCTGACAGGAGCCCATTTTCCCCGACATCGAGCTTGCTGCTCTGGTATTGTGTACACTGGGGGGAAATCCACCTGGCACCAACGACCATTTCCTATTCGACCACAAAACCCCCCAGGACTCGAAGAGCTGCAGTCGTTTCTCTTCACGTGAACATGCTCTGATAGCCTGAAGGACTCCTCAGCCATTTGAACCGTCTTAACGGTTGTTTGTTTGTTTTTTTTGTTTTTTTTAAAATAATAAATTAAAACAAAGGGGCACGTGCGGCTGCCGTTATTTCCAACGGGAAAACTCGTCGCCTCGGATAAAACTGCGCGTGATGTCGTCGGCAAAACACGGTAAGGTTGATTTGATTGATTGATTGATTATTCCGGTTTATTTACACATCGCCATTGATAATGAATATATTTTCTTGCAATGAGAACCCCCTCAACACCACCAAATAACGTCACAGACACGAAAATGGATTGTAACGTGCTAATTAATAACCTTGCTGAACAGTAAGTCTCTCTCTTTTGATACAGCCGCATAACGTGTGTAGGCTTTTTTTTCTATTACATTTTCATTTTCTAACCCGGTCTAAATCTCAATGTAAAAAAAAATAAAGTGACATTATTAAGCTACACAATATTAAAGCTAAATGTGTGAAATTGGATACAAATAAAATGAAAGAAAAGACAAAAAAGGGGGGGGTAAAAAATGAATAATACAGCGCCTCGCGGCGGCCGTATTCCACATTGCTGTTTACTCCCTACATAGGCGCACTGCGCAGGGTATTCAATAACGAGCTCGTGCGCCCTACGTAGTGCACTAGGTCTGGAATCCTTAGCCGTTTGGTATTCGGACAGTGATTGATAACGGATACAGGCTGGAAAATCTGCATGATTTCAGTCTCTTATGACGTTACATGGTAACAGAGCAGTTCATTTATTTATTTTATTTTAGTCGTTCGTTTGTTTGTTTATTTATTTATTTATTTGTATCCGTCCAGATCTATAAGAATATACCGACTCAGAAAAAACATCATTTGTGTGACTTTATTATTATTATTATTATTATTATTATTATTATTATATAACTGTTGTATTTTAAGGTTTTTCAAACTTCAGCTAAGTAGAAGAAATAAAAATGAAAAGAAGGTAAATGTATATTCGTATGATGTTGTGCCGGTTGATTAAATGCAATCATGGGTTTTGTATGGGCGTAATGTTGTCTTTCTGTGCAATCTAATCTAATAATAATCGTAATCGTCATCGTCATAATAATGAAGAGAGACGTCAGACAGGCAGACTAAAAGGACACGCTGTGACATATTGCAACACGTTTTCTCTCCGCAGTGAGTTCCTGTTTAAAGCTGCAGTGTTATTTCACACATAAAGGTCTCACTTTGATTCAGAAATAAGAAAGAAAGAAGAAGCGGCTGCTGTGTGTCCGTCTCACGTGACGCGGTGTCTGCCGTTCCTTGTTTCGTGTGAATAGGGTGAAAAGGACAATCTTTTTCTTCAGAGACACAGAAACCCCTCACGCTCGTCTCTCTAGACGGACGAGGGTTTGTGGTCCCCCACCCGTGGCTCGATGGCGTAGAGACGCTCTGCCGGTTCTTGTTCAACGAGGGCCCTGAGAACATTTCCGATTCAATTGTGCTTCCGCGTCACCGTCTGACGTTTTTCGCTCTGATCAGGGATGCGTCGATATTGATACTATGATGGTTGCCCAGCATCACTACCCCTAGCCTAGGGTGCGTGTCTTCATGGGCGTACGACTCGAAATTCGAAATCAAAGCAAGGCGAACTGGGAAAATATCAAGAGGAAGAACTATAGCGTCGTCCTACGATACGGCTAACCTGATCAAAAAGATCCGTCCGTTTTCCGTACCGCTTATCCTACACAGTCGTGGGGAAGCGTGGAGCCTATCCCTGGGAACTCGGGGAAGAGGTTGGGGTACACCCTGGACGCAGGGCACAATCACACACACGTTCGCACACTCCGGATAATTTAGAGATGCCAGTCAGCCTACAACACGCGTCTTTGGAATGCGGGAGGAAACTTGGAGAAAACCCCCCGAAGCACAGGGCGAACACACAAGGCGTGGCAGAGGTGGGATTCGAACCCCCAATGCCTGGAGGCAAACGTGTTAAACACTACGCCACCGTGCCCCCCCGATCAATCAGAACAATCTTAACTATAAAACTCAGAACAAAGTGCCTAGGTGAGAACACGCGCCTACACACGAAGCTAGGCTCTTACCCAGGATGTTGTTCTTGATGATGATGATGATCAACAGTCGATCCTTGACTGCGAGGGCTTCTGATGACGCCGAAACGGACTTGACTTCCAGCTAAACAGACGCACACCGCAATCGTACTCGATTTAAGGTCTCTAAAGCAGCTAGCCAATGAACTTCGTTGAATATCAGCTCGCTAATGATAAAGAACGAGTCTAGAAACCGAAACTCGTTAACACAAACGCGTCACTATATAAAGCAGGGAAACATAAACGGAGCCGAATAAAATGTCCCATGATGCCCCTGAATGATTAATATGAAGGTTACACATTTTGGTACCGATGGTAGTACCAGGGAATCTGCATCACTTTGGTTAGCATTGCTGAACTGAGGATGATGGCAGGGGTTACAAAATGGCTTGTCCTCAAATGCCTCTCTCTTTCTCACGCGCACACACACACACGCGCGCACGTACACGCACGTACACCGTCTATCAGTATCTCACACTGTCTAGTTCGGTGTTCATAGTGATTTGGAATGTGTATTTAATGAGCTCTCAAAGCATTTTAATCGATATGGGATGAACGACCAGGCGAAGCATACATTAAGTCCAGTTGATTTTGCTGCAGCGCAGTTCTCTGGCTTGAGCGCTGTGGTACAATTGATCATAGTCACACACAAACGAGCGTCAGGGGATAAAAGAGTGAGTGTTAAAGACTGGTGGAAGAAACAAGCAATGTTAGGCATGCCGAGAAACATCAAGAACTGCGTAATCTGTGTAACGCAACACAACCAGAAGGGATGGCACAAGACTCATTCCAGCTAATGGATAAACGTCTCCCTGAAACACTAGATCAGAATTCCAGCGAGTCGATAGCTTGTGTAACAGTGTAAATTTATTGTCTCCTCAAAATAACTCAACACACAGCCATTAATGTCTAAACCGCTGGCAACAAAAGTGAGTACACCCGTAAGTGAAAATGTCCAAATTGGGCCCAATTAGCCATTTTCCCCTTAACGGTGTCATGTGACTTATTAGTGTTACAAGGTCTCAGGTGTGAATGGGGAGCAGGTGTGTTAAATTTGGTATCATCGCTCTCACACTCCCTCATACTGGTCACTGGAAGTTCAACATGGCACCTCATGGCAAAGAACTCTCTGAGGATCTGAAAAAAGAATTGTTGCTCTACATAAAGATGGCCTAGGCTATAAGATGATCACCAAGACCCTGACACTGAGCTGCAGCACGGTGACCAAGACCATACAGAGGTTTAACAGGATAGGATCCACTCAGAACAGGCCTCGCCATGGTCACCAAAGAATTTGAGTGCACACGCTCAGTCATATCTAGAGGTTGTTTTTGGGAAATAGACGTATGAGTGCTGCCAGCATTGCTGCAGAGGTTGAAGGGGTGGGGGGTCAGCCTGTCAGTGCTCAGACCATATATACACCGGACACTGCATCAAATTGGTCTTCATGGCTGTCGTCCCAGGAGGAAGCCTCTTCTAAAGATGATGCAAAATAAAGACTGCAAACAGTTTGCTGAAGACAAGCAGACTAAGGACATGGATTACTGGAACCATGTCCTGTGGTCTGATGAGACCAAGATGAACTTGTTTGGTTCAGATGGTGTCAAGTTTGTGTGGCGGCAACCAGGTGAGGATTACAAAGACAAGTATGTCTTGCCTACAGTCAAGCATGGTGGTGGGAGTGTCATGGTCTGGGGCTGCATGAGTGCTGCCGGCACTGGGGAGGTACAGTTCATTGTTAGACATTAATGTCTGTGTGTTGAGTTATTTTGAGGGGACAGTAAATTGACACTGTTACACAAGCTGTACACTCACTACTTTACATTGTAGCAAAGTCATTTCTTCAGTCACATGAAAAGATATCAGATATTTACAAAAATGTGAGGGGTGTACTCAGATTTTTGAGATACTGTATGTAACACACTACATGAAAGGTAATATTTGAAAAAACATAATAGGTGCGCTTTAACTATATATAATAAACGTCTCTGGATGGGAGTCTGTAGAAATGTTTAGTTTTTTTTTTTTTACAGTATTATGCATATATTTCAATTAAATCCCCCCTAACTGAGCTTGAGTTAGTAGCCATGAGTTGGCTAGACAAAATTCTGTATCTGAAAAAAGCAACATATTAACATATAATAGTTTCTAAAGAATTTGCATGGCTGGTGTTGGAAGATGGTTGAGATTGGTGGGAAGTCACGCGTTCTCAACACATACACGTGATACTGAATGTATAAATGGTGTTCAATCTAAATATTTATAGAAATATTACGTCTCAGTCCTGGTAACCAAATGAAAAGCGGCCATTTTATGAAGTAGTCTGTATAAAATAGAAATATGACGGACAAGAAATGAACCCTTTTCTGGTACGATATAATTGGAATTATATTAAGTAAGCAATAATTGACTCCGGGCCGTTGAACGATTCGAACATGACACACACTACGTGACGGTAAAGCGGTTCCACCTCTGCCGTGCATCGGAGTCAGTTATTCCGCTTGTACCACAGTTGCCACACCTCAGGATATTGTTCAGATGTTTTGTTTCAAGATATTTGTCAGGTTTTTGTCCTTTCTGTGTGGAACTAATTTATGATGCTTCCTATCTCAAGCCTCTGCTGCTAATTCCCAAACCTTTTAGAGCTAGTAACTGAGGCTTGAGCAGTTATTGGGGAGAGAGAGAGAGAGAGAGAGAGAGAGAGTGAGAGAGAGAGACAGTGAGAGAGAGAGTGAGAGAGAGAGACAGTGTGAGAGAGTGAGTTCACAGTTGTTGTTTTTTTCGTTTCATGCTGATAATATAAAAATAGAGCAAAGAAATAAATAAATATCAATAAGCCTACTTGTTCACAGGGTTTTCTGTCTCATTACTGCAATCACATGTTCTCTCTCTCGCTCTCCTTTTCTTTCTACTTGCGCTTCTCTCTCTCTCTCTCTCTCTCTCTCTCCAATAACTGCATATCAACGGCTCAAGCCTCCGCGTTGCCTCAAGGCCGCATTACCACCTCGGGTTCATGTTATTTTTTCGAATAATTCAGCAGCCCGTTGTCAAACATTATGTAAATCCTCTGTCATTTTGTTTATTGTTAGCTCTGGTGGTCAGTCAGCTCATTTTTCCGTCATTTCAGTGAACTTGGCGAAGTGATGTGGAACGCTAACACTGTCAAGACCTGACTGGAGCTCCTTTAGCTGTGCGTTTACCGAAAAATAATCGCCAGTCAGCCAATCGGAATCGAGAATTCAACGGCATGTGGTATGATGGTTATTTATGAAATCGCAGGGTTTGAGGTTTCTAACAGCAGACGAGTTCAAAACCACAAAAAATGAGAACAGCAAAATGTCAAACCAGGACCTTTTGTCAAACCACAGTGACCGCAGCGCTGTCCTCTGGCAGGAAGAGTTTCATCACATGTAAAATGAATGACACTTCTTTCTGCTTCAGAGTCTGACCTTTCTAAGACAACGTTGTGGAGTTTTAACAGTCAAGATTATATCATAGATACGTATTTTCGACTGATAAATGGTACGTTTATAGGAAGTACATTTTGATAGACACGTGTTTTGAACTTGTATAACGGCGTCCTCAGTTTTCAGTGAGACATCACTTCCTGTGTTCGTCTGACTGCAGGTCTCGAGGAGGCAGCAGGAAGGCAGCCAATGAGTCAGCCGCTGAACCAAATGGCTCCTCCACCATACCTGGCGTCGCAGGACTCCAACATGCCCCCACACCCTCCTCCGCCCGGCTGCGGCCCCCAGCCTAACTACCCCCCTCCCCCTCCCCCTCCCGGCTCTGAAGGGTATTTACACGAGTCTCAGTTCCCTTCTGGAAACCATCCGCCTCAGGCGGCCCCTAACGGTTACACGGTCCAGACGCATGGGCCCACCGGCTCGATGCCTCATCCTCCGGTGGGTTACCTGCAGCTCGGATATCCACTCCAACTGCAGCCTTGCACTGCATATGTACCTGTGTATCCCATCGGAGCAGGGGTGAGTCAGGGCCCGTTTCACACACTGTTCTTTTCTGAGTGACAATATGTCATGACTCTTGTCTAGTATAGCAAAGCAGTGTGTTATCGTTTAGCGAATGTTTAGCGTGACGGTACGGAAGGTGATGTATAACGTCTAGAGGACCGTAACAATTCATCGGACCAATATCAGGTGTTGAGTAAATTCACAGCAGTTTTGAACAAGTAATGCATTTTGACAACAAATTATTGATATTCATCCGTCTTTCTCTTTCTCTCAGGGCCAGCCTTACATGCCTAATGGTACACCCCATGCAGGTGTTGCGCCAGGGCAGGTGCCAATGCAAATGCCCCCTGGCGTTGCTCTAATGGAGCCGCGGCGGCCCCCTCACGACTACCTGCCCATCGCAGTGCTCACCACCATCTGCTGCTTCTGGCCCACAGGCATCATCGCCATCATCAAAGCCGTGCAGGTGAGCCGGCCATGCAAACGAGCAATGTCCTGAATTCATTAGAATATTAAGAACTCTTCAGGGCGAACCTTTTTGTAACAGATCAAACTAAAAGACCGTGTGGATTTATATGTGTAGAAAACCTTCGCAAACGGAACGCAGGAGGCAGATGCAGCGTTCTAAAATGAGCACAAAAACCCGACAGTGCGTCCTGAATTGAATCTGTTTATCGTGACACGATCGTAGGGATGTGGCTACCAGTTTATTTTATAATGGATGAATCGGTGCTCTAATGAATACATTTGCCAGAGATGATGCATTTGACAAACAATCCATCTCCTAAATTTAAGTAACGCCACCGAAATCTTGAGCTCTCAAGCTTCATCTCAAACTTTGATGAAAAGCGTCAGCGGAAAATCGTAGCTAATGAATTTAAAGTGCGTCCTTGAAGACGAAACGATGAAATATTTAAAGTGTAAACGAGCCC